CCTGTGTGTGTTTGTGTGTGTGTGTGTGTGTGTGTGTGTGTGTGTGTGCGTGTGTGTGTGTGTCCCACATTTTGTCGCGCACCTTCAACTCGAGAAGCACAAAAGCTAGGCGGCTGAAATTTCAGTATAGTGTTCCTCGCCAAGGGCTGACGCGGCAGATTTAAATTCAGCCTTTCCGTACCCGCAGGTAGCATGTACGGCCCCGTAAAAGTTTTTCGGGTAAAATCAGTGTCTCGGGAACCACAGAAGATAAAAGGCTGAAAAATGTATTACCCAGAAAACTTAAATTCAGCTTTCCCCTCCCCTCCGGTAGCAAATACGGCCCCGTGAAAATTTTTGACGGGTAAATTATTGTCTTGCGAGCCACGGGGTCTAGGAAGCTGAAATTTACTTCGGAGTTAACAGGGTCATGGATATACAAAAAGGTTTATATTTTGTTGTACCAGGCTACATCGATGTTGTATATTTTATTGTAAAAAAAAGATTTTTTTTTAGACTTAATAATGACCCCCCGCCTACGCTTAACCTTGCCCATTCAAATTCAGCGTTCCTGCTCTCTCGGCTATCTCCTACGGGCTAGTGAAAGTTTTCACGGGTAAATTATTATCCCGGGAACCACGGAGTCTTGGAAGCTGAAATTTCAAGGTACTGACTCCCTGCCACGCTCAATCTTGCCTATTCAAATTCAGCTTTCCCGCGCTCTCGGCTATCTCCTACGGACTAGTGAAAGTTTTGCGGATAAATTATTATCTTGGGAACCACAAAGTCTACAGAGCTGAAATTTTAGAGTAATGACCCCTGCCCACGCTCAACCTTACCTATTCAAATGCAGCTTTTCCGCGCTCTCGGGTGTCACGTACGGCCTCGTGAAAGTTTTGGCGGGTATTGACTCGGGAATCACGGAAAGATAATCATCCTTCAGTGTTTCGAATTCGGCTTTCATGCGCAGGCGCGTGAAATTTCTAACAATTTTTCAATGTTTCAACTATTTTTGCATAGACTAAAGGACAAAGCAATGAAAATCATTAATAGGCAATCGTTCGATAGGCTGAATTGCGCAAAACGCTTGATCGCACCGGCTAATCTGGTGCGCGTTGCTTATTTATTTTTATTTCAAATAACATACGCGTGTAAACGAGCCCACTGTATGGTTAATGTGTTACAGCCCCTATCATGAAGCATTGGAAGCAATACGGGACCGACGTTATGAGGATGTTATTCCTCTTGTTGAACAAGATTTGGCCGAGCATGCTGCACGTGGTAAATCCGAACTTACTGCCGTGCTTCGCGACTGCATCCTGATGGCTCGTTTTGAACTGATGAAAGAAAACGTTGAGGTCACTACTTTTCATTTCAAACAACTGTTCCAGTACTTCGTTTGTTTGCATCCCCTTAGTCGTAGCACGCATTCGCGCTGTCTGCAAAGCTGGAAGTAACTCTTTCATGGTTGCTGTGAAGGGAGATGCACGATTTGGTGTTCAGCTTGCTGCTGCTGCTGGTTGGTGCTTTTGTTCCTTTGTTATGCGTTTTTTGCAGCAATGCAATGCAAAAAACGCATATTGACGAGAGGTTGTCTGTGTGTCCGGTCTGTGTGTCTGTGTGCCTGTGCGTCTGTGTGTCTGTGTGTGCGTCTGTCACGCACTTTCATCTCAGGACCTATAAAGTGCGTCTGTCACGCACTTTCATCTCCAGACCTATAAAAGCTGCGGGGCTGAAATTTCGGGAACTTGATCTACATGCACGTACCGCTCCCAATCCCCAAAATGGGCGCCAGAACCCGCGTGGTACCCGCGTACGGGCCCTCCAAAGTTTTTTTGGGGTCAGCTCATAACTCGAGGAT